AAAGTCTTCCAATCACTGCATTTCTTTCGATTGCTACCATTTCTTGCGTCAGCGTTACTTACTTATAGTTCACTGTTACTTCTTCGTTGCACCCTATTTACACAGTGCAAGAAATTGAGAAAATGAGTGCAATACTTAGGATACGGCAATAATAAGGGTATAAGCAGATTAACACTGCAGCGAATTTCAACAGTATTAATGATAATTTGCTTTGTTCCAAAACAGTATTAATGTTACAGTGTTGGATTTGCAGCATCTCGTACATTATTGCATCTAATTTTATGAAGTAATATTCGAAACAGTTATAAAGATTACATTACAGGATTATTAAGGTCACTTCAAATTAGTGACAGTGAGCTCACATATATATTTATATTTATTTATTTACCAGAAAAATTGTAAATAATAGCGTTGGTTACTAAAATTGTCAGTTTATTTAGGTAGCGTGACCGTAGATTAAAAGTAGATAATGAAAGGGCCACTTATTTACCTAACAACGCAGTAATTCGTAAGTATTACGCTTTACGTTGCCTCTGCCACATAGAACACTGATTGTCTATATGTGGTATCGCTGAGTTCCCACGCTTGGTTGAACGATCATATAATCTTTTAAACTGACTTCTGATTCCACCAAATGAAATTAAATGGAAGAGCTGAGATTAGAGGGGATGTTGAGGGTTAGCCAGTATACACTTAGACCATTTCTCGCATCATTTTAGGTGTCTTTCAACTAATGCACTAACGAGTTGACTAAATGGTACACCACCTGACATCAGGATAATCTTAATACCCTGCACAATATGACATACCCGCTTTTGAGTAATTCAGGAAAGAATAAGGGGGAAGAGTAAAGACCACTGCAAGAGTTAACAAATTGTAAAACTAGAGATTTAATGATTCCTGATTGTCTAGACTACATAATGTGTAAGCTGCAATGAAGGTTATCGTGTCTGCACGACCGAAAACTTACTCAACTAATGTCATCTGGGTCCTGAGTCAACAACAACGGCATATGCTGAATGATTGAAAGCCTAGCACAAAAACGACAGAGCAAAAAAAGCACTTGCAAAGTAGGAGACGAATCCCGGAAGAAGAGATTACTGAAAGGTATTTATTTATCATTTAACAAAGAACAAGATTAAGAACTACACCTGTCATTTGTTGACACTATGGAGATCATTATTCAGTGTTTCACATTTAGTTATGCCTATTGTCAAAGTAGTTGAAGAACGAACGATCAATTCACGGTTGTTTGCTCAAAACCAACTCCATATTTTGGCGGGAGTCATCGATACTGCAGTCATCGTTCTATCGTTCACTGTTTGTTAGAAGATAAAGAATAACTATCAGAAGTACTGTTGTGATTACTTGTTATAACATTTACCCTTAGACTTTGTGTACAATCGCCTTGTGGTTGGTTCTGTATTGGCGCAAGAATATAGGATTCTTGAATCACCAATTTGTGTTCTGGTTTTCGCGTTGGTTATTGACAATAGTTTCTGAAAGTCTTCTAAGAACAGCGTTAATTCCAGGGTAGTTAGACCTGGACATTGACACCTATACTGTGTCATTCCAATTAAGGCAAATTCTATGATTAATTTTACGGACAGCTGTTAATAATGGGATGCGCTTGGCCATCTGCATTTCCTCTCTTTGTCGTACAGTAGGTAAAGAGATCTTATTGCATTGTACAAATCTCAAAGAAATCACTATAGACCTGATCTTCCTCTCCTATTCAGCTACATTGGGTCATTTAATAGGACATAACATGAGAGTTCAAAAACCAATGAGGGACTATGTATCTCTGGTGTACATGTTCTCCTAATGAGTTGAAAACTCTTGGGATAGACTCCTAGAAGTACCTCAGTTGACACGTTCAATAATGGATTAGACAAACACGGAACCCTATCATCAGTAAATCGATAAACTTTCTATTGACAAAATAAGTAACCAGTGTTTGTGGTACAATCTAGGGAACCATGATTGTGTAATTGTACTATACTTTGGCTTTCTCACAATTTGAGTATTTTGGGTTAGGCATTTTGACGAAAGCTGACAGTCATGTACAGGCGAATTCCAAAAATCTGGCTACAGTGTTCGGTTTAATACGTAATGTATCCAGAGCCTTTGCAGGGTTTAAGCAACCTTCCTGTTCTTTCAACTTAGAGATATCTGCGCTTATATGAAGACGGAAGAGGCCAATGAAGAACATCAAAACAACTAGATATGCTTTGGAGGTTACTGAGAAATTACGACAAGGTATTACCTTGTACCAACAACTGAAAGCAATAAATTATTCTTTCCTAAGCGTTCCTTCTACCTTTGAGCTATTTGAAGTGGACAGATTTGGCGAATGATATATAATATATATTTCCTATCTATGTAGGACACACCAGTTGTACAGACATGGGTGAGTATTATTTAAATTACATGAATTTGATTTATAGTGAAATTACATTGTCGCTGTCCTCTCTGACATCAGTTGGTGAGTACATTCTGATAGTTAGTCGTTCAATGGAGCACATTAAGAAATATAGTCTTCGCATTAACAAAAAAAACCCAAGTATGTGTCGGATAAATTACAAATATTTGGGAAAAAAATAAAGCTTGAAGTCAATTCCTCCATATGACTTTGTTGTGTGCGGCATCGTATCTTGTTTTATGTTCAAATTGGGTATTAATTTAAAACGAGTGATTTATTTTTGTGATTTTGACATCATTTTCATTGCAAGTAATACCAGATGTGAATTCAACTGAATGCAGATTAATATTGTAGGACGTAGGACGTTCCTTAAACTCAGGTATGCTTGTGGTCGGTGGACTTCCTAGGGGTTCTTGTACGAACTTTGAAATTTACCCCAAGTGTTAGTGCTTCTTCTAGATTTTACTTCACTTTTAAATGTCATTTGTTCACTCAATAGTAGGAAAGTGCAGCCCCGTCCCTCTGTGTCTTTCGATACTTTAGCTCTGACACGTGTTTCGGTATGTATTTTTGGTATGATGGGGTTTGCATTTAAGGTGTTCTTGACTACTTTTCGTTGGTTGTGTGCTTCATTCGGGGTTATTTTGAAATTCTTGAATTCTATGGAAGAAGGCAGAGTATCCTCAGATTTCTCAAATAGTTCGGATATTATATAGCTGTCAAATCTGAACAGTGTAGGAAACGTGAGGCTTATATGCTTTTTATTTAGCTGAAGGGTGCTTAGCCAACTCCACAGGCTCATTGTCTGGTATATCGCACACTAGAGAATTCTGCTTAGATGCTGATCCCTGAACAGCTTCGCTAGACAAAGTTTCTATGTCCTTATACTAGCATTCCCTCCTTCCCATAAATTCGTGCATGCCACAATAACTGAAACACTCAGTAATTTGATATAATACTTTGGTCGACACGGATGACTGATATCGTTTGTGGCAACATCAATAGAGGTAGCCCACACACTCCACTCATAAATGCATTTGCATGCTGTCAAATATATTCATATACGAGCCCTATGGATTGTCATCACCACACATGACTGTGTGAATTTCAACTGTTCTCAAGCTACTAAAAGCAGATATATCTTAACCTTCCTGTATAGATGACTAGATCAATAAGAGTCGACCTAGCCAAAACCAATCGAAAACGGCCGTAGACATTTTCACAAACACACCATCGCTTTCTTAGCTTAGTGAGACACTGGATCAGATTATTATTTTGCCAAAACAACAGTGACCTAGGGCAGGCAATCGGGACATAGGTGCGAAAGAGCATGACCTAGAAAACAGCTGTTAACATGATACTACACTGAATAATTGACCTTTATGTTTCACAGGGATGTATCCCAGTTATTTCAAGGAAGTGTACACAGAAGTTATGACATAGGTGAGAGATGTGTTAGGACAGCCGACTGCAGATAAAGGTGCTTTAAGATCCACTGATACTACTGAAGCTGTACTTAACCTGTCCCTTAGACCAAAATAAATTCTAACCTCAAACTCTAACTCCAAGCTTTAATCTCATCCAAACTATAACAGTTTAGAGGCCAAAGGTATTGACTTCCACGGATAGTATGAAGTATACTAACGCAAGATTTAACACCCACAACTTCTGTAGTATTCGTTCCACGTAGACCAAGGGCAAGGTAAAACACCAGAGTTGATCGTCCTAATTACGAGTTATATTTCGGGACCAAATCGGAGTGCGAGATGATTGCTTAGCTGGCTAGGGATCGCGCACAGACGAACGAATGTAACACGACAGCGTGTCAAATAGTGTGGATGCTTGATCGGTAGCCTCCAGGTAAACAAGTTGACTTATACAATGAGAGTCAGCGTCCAATGTTAACTGATGAATGCTGTGGCCAATAATTTTGGGAATTATCTACCGCTATAACCCTTAACCCCAACAAGTTACCCATGCTTCATACAAATAGTACTTAAAAATGAGTTCAGGGTGAAATCTGCACCACAATAAGTGCACAGCTCTCATAGTAGCGTAATATGACCTCACGTTATTCAATTAGCAGTCTGAGTTCAGGGTCATTGATGCGTTCTCACTCCTATACCGCTATTCGTTAATTTGGCCCCTAACACTACCTAACAGCGTGAATTTACTAGTTCTTCAGGAAACATTTTCGTGAAATCCAGGCAGCTTTCGTTATGGGATATTCCCTAGATCCTATTACATCTCGAAGGTCAAAATTTGGCGACCTTGATTTCGGCTAGATAGTTTCACACCACTGCAATTGAGTGTATATCGGTGTTAAAGTCGTAGAAAATTTCGCTCATACAACACAAGACTTAGAATCGTAGATACATTTCTTAGTAAATTAAGGAATCTGATTGGCTGTTTCAAGGTCGTCTGAGGTTGGTGTCTGTTCTTTACTGTTGCCTCGTTTTGCAACTGCCGATAATTACGATCATATCATTACTCATCCTGTAACAGTGACAGTGACTCACTACTCGGGTGGCTCAAAACTATAGCAGCCCATAACGAAACTACCTCTAGCGACCAATCAGATACGTAAGAAGTAGAGATGCGCAATTTGAAAAAAACGTTTATTTTCAGGTAATGTTCGAAAATAAATTAGGGTCTCCTGGTATGCTATAGTTTAGAGTCAACGCTGCTCGTAATTTTTAGGGGCTATGTCGAGCATGATCAAAAGAATTTTTTGGGCATTTCAGGGGCAACTGAGTGCAAAACTCCTAGGGACATTTTGGCGAAATGCCTCCTTTTTCATCACCTTGATGTTAACATCATGATTAATTAATCAGCTACCCAAACAGATCGTCCCCAAATCAGAAAGTTGTGTGGAAAAAAGGCTGAAGAAAAGTAGGAAACTTTTCTCAAGTGAGAAATAAATCGAAATTAATATCCCAATATCCTACAAATATGGGGAAAATCGTGTTGAAAAAGGGGACAAAAAGGGGACATTCCCTTGATTTTGATTTATTCCCCCTTCCTAGAAATTGTCCCCTTATTGTCCATTTAATCGGGTTTTGTCCCCTTTTGAAATAAAATACATCCTTTTTGTCCTCGTTTTCCCAAAAATGTCCCCTTTTGTCCACACATTTGTCGGATTGGGAGGCCGCAAATATGGGATAATATTTTTGAAGTGACAAATAAAGTGAAGAAGGGGAAAATTATTAGATGATAACGACAAAATAAAGAAAAGAAAGAGAACATAATGGCGAAAAACTGAGTACCATTAATGCGAAAAAGGAGATAATGCACAACCTGAGAAAAGAGGCGTGATTTAGCTACAAAGTCTCCTTTATTTCACCTTTCTTATCCATCGAGCATCCCACTCTTGTCGCCCTTTTTAACGCTCTGTTCCTCTTTTTGCCTGAGTGGGCCTTAATAATTTTCAATACTGAGATTTTAATGCGATTGTGCCTACCTTTCAGACTACTTAATTGATTCTGTTTGAGAAATTTGTTGACATCACTATACATATAATGAGCAGCCTTCAGATTACTGTATATTTCTACTTTTTTACCCTAGCACTTTTTGAATCTGAACATAACAAAATCGTTATCACTCATTCCTAACGGATATTCAGACAACGGTGTGCCAATTCTAAATTTTGAATGCATTAGCCCTAAGATTTTCACTTCATTGTCTTTCGAGAAAGACAGAAAAATTGCAATCAAGTCCCTGCTTAATTGATACAGTTGTTAGCATGACTGCATCTTGCAATATTTTCTCTCTTTGATTAGCTTTCTCAACTTAAGGAGTTGTTTTATATCACTTGATACGGGTTTCATAACATTTTGTGCTTTAAATAGTACAGATAATCTTGATGGCAGTTTGAGTAAATGTGTATACGTGTATACGCAATTAATTATCAATTAGTTAATGAATTATAATTAACCTAGGTACATGTGGGTTTGTCAATTTGCTATAAATATTCCCAAACTTACACTGTGTGTAATCAGCAAACATTTTTGTCTCAACTTGTGAGTTAACAAAAAAATATGCCCTCTGTTTACATTTGCTTGAACACATCCTGCCGAGGTTTGTTAAAATCAACAATTGTTACAAAAATTAAGTGGAGTAAAGAAGTTGGACGTGTTATCCACTCTAATGTGGTAGCACAGTTTAGCAAAGAAACTTAGATGGAAAACATCTCTGTATTATTGGGAACTTGTCAAATCAAAGTATCCTTGCTAACAGATAAGAGCAGCGGATTTACCAGGGCACAATTTCACTTACTTTATAAAAATGTTTTAAGGCCATCTGCTTATTCATAACGGATAATTGTATTTCACTCGCCTATTTACTGTAGTATGAAGTAATCTTCCTGAGAAACCGTGGTGTAATTGGTAGCTAATATCATGGTGATATATTCGATGCGACTGCCGCTGTCCAAACGACCTTTGTGGCATGGTAGGACCTGCAGGAACGTTAGTTCCAGCTAATGCAGCTCTTTGGGTCATTGGGATATACAAGTCCGACCATCACTTCAAAGTAGCAGCTAACTTATGTGAAAAGTTCGAGATATCCACTGTCGTGTCTCATGGCTTACAGAAACACTCACAGTTCTAAAACCACTCTGCTACTGTTAAAATTTCCCAGATTGCCATATACTGTTTCGTTTAAATAACTAACAGGAGATGAACCGCCTTAGTGACTTTCCAGTTCTGTTGTAGTAGGTAAGTAGAAGGAAAGCTTGTGTATTCAACATCAAGCTTTTACTATATGTTAAAACCTTCTAAGAGAACTTTTATCTGACTGTTAGAATTGGAAAATGCAAATTTAATAATCCCTTTTCAGATCCCAGTACCTGATTACTAAGATACCATTTTGAGTCCATCAAGGATGAGGCTGGTTTCTATGATATTCTCTGTTGGATAATAAAATATTTTAGGAAATTATTTTGTTACTTGAGTGGAGTGACAGCAGTATATGATGTGGTTTGCCGTACTTAGACTACTGGCACACAGACCTTCAATTAACTACTGTTTGATTCAGGTCGTATTCTTATATGTTCCACATTGTAATAACTTATTTTTCAATCATGCGAAATGTAGATGAATACACTTCATTAAGGCTGTAAGAATGCTGTTACATTTCCCTCTTTATATTACAGACTACCATGGACGGTTTTGAATGCTTTGACGATGATAATGTTCAAGAGGATGATATCCAGTATTTTTTCTATGGATGTTATATCTTGTTATCACTCAATCCAAAGTTTCGGGGTAAAACCTACATCGGTTTCACAGTTAATCCTAAGAGACGAATAAGACAACATAATTCTGGTTGTTTAAAAGGCGGAGCAAAGTCAACAAGCGGAAAGGGACCTTGGTTAGTAGTGTCAGTTTGGTTTAAAGCCTTTCAGGGAAATGGTTTTAATTGTTCATGGATTCCCGAATGCAATATCTGCTTTAAGGGTATGTCAGTTAGTGGTTGTTAATTTAGTGTATTTTCACCCTCAGTTCGAATGGGCTTGGCAGAATCCAAAGTTATCACGTCGATTAAAATACTCGCTTCCAGTTAAAAAGCCAAGGGAAACTAGTTTTGACTACCGTTTGCGAGTTCTTGCATTAATGCTGTGCAGCGGACCTTGGAATCGTTTGGGCTTGACTATTCAGTGGATAAAACAGTCTTATGCACGAAACTTGTCAGAAAATTTGGTACCCCCTTTACATATGCCAATAGCTTTCGGACCTGTAGAAGCAAACTGTATGGACAAACCCAGTACTACCAATAAAGTCTCTGGACTATGCCATTTATGTGGTGTTCCGTTTTCAGTAAGTGTACATTTTCAATTACTGAATAAATTTTGCTTCAAGTTGTCAATTTATTTGTCAAAGTGTTTTCATAAGATAAGCTAACTTTGTAGTAAGTCAGTAACAGCTACTCAAGGATCTTTTCATAATGTACTTGTAACAAGATCTGGTTGTCGTTACGTATCTTTTCAGAAAGAAATAATGCTAAGTTTTCTCTGGTTTCGGTCTTGCGTATTTAATTATCAAATGATACCCTATGAATTTTCCAGTACACTGTTTTTGTAACAGTAAAATGAATGCCATTGTCTAGTCCTTTAGAATTTTTTCGTGATGATGGCTCGACTGTTCTGTCGCCTTTTCAGCACGGAATAATTTTTACAATTCTTTGTTTTTCATCTCCGCTTTACTATGAATTTCCTCTATTACTTTTCTAAGGTGTCATAAAAGTTTCTGTGCAGTATCTACCTAAGAAAATCACTTCTTGAGGTAGAGATCTACTTAAGAAGTACACTAAAACATTTAGAATAAATAGTTTAAGGTCGAATTAATAAAATTTCCTTCATTGTCGGTATAAGACAGAGTTGATTACATATGAATTTATTTAATTTCTTAGGAACGAGGGGATGTTGGGTTCAGTGACCGAAAGCTGATTGTCATATATAAACTAGTCATTTGAGAAGAATAAAACTGATCAGTCATTCAGTTATTTAGTCTATTACTACCTACATTCTTGTTACATACGAAGTCCTTTCATGATTTTTGTGTTTTCCATCTTGTCGATGCGGGATACATCTCACTCGAATCAGTTTGTAGAGGTGGCTTCAAAACTGATCTGTACCAACTCCTAACTTACAGGGATTGTCTAACTTATTGACCCAATTTAAGTAATAATAGGGTTATGCTAAGAAAGGGTCGTTCATCAAATGAGCATCTCAAACCATCTCCTACCTTGATAAGCATTGTTGGCTACAATGGAATTGGGAAGGCGTCAAGGGCAGTCAGATCAAAATATAACGTCATCCGCTTAATTGGAGTTTGTAAGTATCAGTGGTCTATGACTCTTGATTGTGAAGCTAAAGACCACTTAGTATTAAAAGTGAATTACTTTTCTCTTCGAGATGCTGAACACTTCCATTACGCTTCATTACACTATTTTTTCTTTCACACATGTGTGAAGTGTTTTTAAATATGACATCTTGAAATGATACATTTTTGTACAAGGTTCCTCATTAGTTTATCACTTAGTTAGAACTCGTTGGCGACTTTAGGTGCAGATGGCTTTGTATAGGAAGTTAATGGCTTCCGAAGTATACGAATAGGTTGTTAACTGACTGACTTGACTGTGGTTCAAAGCCCTCTTCGGTTAAGTTTATCTCCATCAGCACTAAAGTATTCTTTTTCATATCATGATTCGTAGATCAGTTCAGCAGCAGTAGGCAATATTCGATAAATGTTTAGGTTCGTCAATAATACGGGTTGTAGAGGAGATCTGGTAAGTGAAACGATTTCCAAGAATGACGGTTCTTTAATTACTTAATAGATTAGTGCGTGAACCTGAGTCAGTTCTCTCAGGATGATTACTGTTTCCATGGCTGTTTCTATGGAAGTAAACCTTTTCAATGTAGATATCGGTTGTAGTTGTGCATTTTCACTACCATGGATAAAAAATGTTGACATTGGATAACATGCAGTCAGTGTGAAAGGTTAATTTTAGTATATATTCTTATCTCCTATGATTTTCTGTGTGCTGTTGAAAAGCGCTCAAATTTAATTGACCACTGATTTGTGACTTACGTTATGGCTGTAATTCAGTGTTAAAATTTCGTTCATTTTTTATACAGTTTATTTCAGAGAAATTATATCAGCATGAATGCTAGTCTATTTATGAAAAAAAGAAGTGCATTTCTACACTAGTCGAATTATAATGGGTAACGTAGGTTGAAGTAATCAATTGTGTTTTCGTTGTTACTGGACTACAGAGATCTCACCATGAAAATTTTCAGGGGGTACTTTATTTTAAAACTATTTACTACTGGTTAATTGATATGAGTTGCATACCACGCATATTAACCAGCACTGCTCGACGAAATAACTTGGTTTCCAAAGGAAACTACAGCAAAATTTCGCCACTCTAACTGTGTGAATTTGATTTATGATACTTTGCTTTTTTAAGTGACGGGAAAGATCACAGCAAAAATATTTTTGTCATTTCCATAGTATCTCATTGATTGTTTTTCTGCTTTTTGTGTATGCAGGTTGATTCTTCTTTGCCACTTATCTGTCCTGCGTCTTGCCCACTGGGTCAATGGCACTTGTTGTGTCTAGCGAATTATATGACTCGAACCAACGATTCGCCTTCGTCTCATTCTAATCAGTCACATATTTCATACTTAATACCTCTATCTGCCCCATGCCCTGCTTGTTACGAAGCAGAACTCCTCTGGCCTTCACTTATTAAGTCATGGAGATCAAGAACTAACACTTCTAAGGATACAAATGTTTCCAATAGCTTAGAAACACATCTTTAATACCTTGTATGACATTAACTTATGTATTAATTGCTCAGATTCACGTGAAACTGTATGTAAAAATCTTTCATCTGCTGTTTTCTTTTGATAACAGACTTTTTTCACTGATATTAATTTTTCTACACTGACTGTTAAATATTTATTCCATAATTTTATTTTAATTATAGTACTCCATCTAGAGGTGTATTTGCAGTGTTGTTTGTGATTTTGGCTTGAGTCACTCCTTCGTTCTCTTGTGTTGTGTCTGTGATATCCCTCGATTTGTATGTGTATTTATATTTCCCAGCTGGTTAATGGGCTTCTCTCAGTCCTTAAAAGCACTGTTGTCTTTAAACAATGCAATAAGAATAACTTCTGGAGGATAAGATGAGGCCATTTTATTTCATAGGTTTCCAATCAGCTGCACAAAAGCTGAATAATGAACTATGTAATGTTATTTTTTTTACTGATAACTGCATTGAGGATTTTGAAGGTTAGTTGGCTTTATTAAGGATGGAATAGAACGAAAGAACAGCTTAGTGCATTTTCAAAGCACACACTAGCGTTTCTATGCAACCTATCCTCTGTCAAGAAACTTTCATCGGTGTGTTAAGGCCTCTGTAGGTGAATAATTCTCTATTGCTGCATGAATGTATAAGTATTTTACCAATTTGTAACAAAAGAATATTGAAGCATGTATAAATGACCTCTGTGAGGAAAGTTCACATGGATGATAAGGAAGGTGAATTAAGAGGTGACTGTAGAACCTAATGTCTCAGCATCAACACAGTGTCGATAGGTTTTTTTGTACTACATGTGTTAGTATATGGTCCTAGACCTGTTACGGGGTTATATGTAACTAGATAGATAGGGATTTGCGTCATAAACAGGCTGTCTTAGGAAAGTAGCCTGTGACAGTGTAGCATAAGTGCCTATTGAGACTTTTCTCAGAGCGAAGGATGCTAAAAACCATCTGCAATAAATGTCAGATTTTATGTGATTTTTATGGAGCACATTAAATGAACAGACGCCTTCGATTCGATGAAAAATAACTCACCAACTAGACCTCTGTCTTTTGGAAGTAAGTGAGTCCACAGTCGCATCGAAGTGATCAAGCAAATATCTATGTCAATATGTTTATATTTTTTTGCTCTAGTAAGCTGAGGGTCAGATAATAGAATGTACATTTATAAGGATTTTCACAACCATTTACAGAGATATTATTTTCATTAGTTCAGATACTGAGATCACAATAAATTCACTTTCTTATTACATTGTGATAATTAAGACCACATGAATGGAAATAATTTTTATCGTAGAAGTGTTTGAATGACTACCACCACATGCACTTTGTTTGTAGCTAAGTTTCGTGATCCTGAATGTCTCAGATTACAAATGAATCCTGTCGGATTTCGTTCTTTATTAGGGTCTTTACTAATTCAAACCTTTTAATCCTTTAGGCTATACATGCAAAAGGAATTGTTAAAGTATAATGAACTTAGTTGTTTAAGTGGTACACGTAAGGACTTTTCAGTATTCTGGATCTTCCTGATTGATATAATAAGCAAGTTAATGGCTAGGATGATGGAGAGTATGAACACTGACAGAATATGTAGTACTTTTATTTATGCTTTTTCTACAACATTCGCAAAAGTCTTTTATCAGGATTGAGTTGAGCCATTACGTAAAATCAGAAACTGCGGAAGCGTCAATCAGTTGGGATTGAAAAGGTATCAGTATAATTAAAAGACAGGACGCCTAAGGAGAAAACAAAAGGAAGACATGAAATTACAATGAAGGTATAAACTAATTTATTCTAGCTATATCACCAGAGTTACGGTCGACTCGTGCAATTTACTGGTAATGAGTCGTGGAGTTTGTATACGAAGAAAATTTTCTTTATCGACGAAATCATCTTCAGAGGCTGTACAGTCGTATTTATATTTATCGAAAATGTATAGTAGTCCATTATTGAGTAAAAGGGGGGGGGTGACAATTGATATAATTAATCAAAAATGATTTCAGAAGTAAAAATAAAAGTTGTAAATTACATAGTACTCAACGGCACAAAGGAAGAAAGGGTTAGAAATTTGATAAGGTTAAATTACTATTGAGTGAGAAGAAGGTCAATTGAATGTCAATTTAACAAGTGTGAAGAAGGTGAGAAAATGTGCAAACGGAACATATGAGAGTGATAATAGTGAATTAATTATTAGAGTAAAAGTAAAATAAAAAATTTACAGGGAACGACTAGTGAAGAGGTTAAGACTATGGTAGAATAAGAGACTGGACAAACTTTTCCTGTATACAGAGTTCGTGGCTGTATTGACGAATTGCCAACGCCATACACAAATGCTGAAACCTGACGCCCTTTGTACCATTTGACCTCACCTTGTAGATAATCTTGAAAGATGACTCTGGTGGAGCTACGTCGTTTGAATTCACCAAGTGCTCGAGAATTGAGCTAGTAACTATCTTGTATTGTCCTTTTGCTAATCACGCCGCATAATTTTCAGAGATGCGTTTGGAAAGTGTGCGGCCAATATAACTAGCTCCACAGGAGCAGGTGAATTTATAAACACACATTAAAGTGGCCCAAAGCGGAAGTTTATCCTTCACACATCCATTGATCATTTGTCGGCTGTAGAAATTGATCCGCAACCCAGTCGCAAAGAAGGCTTTTCTCAGTGATCTGCATAAGCGGTTCTTCAGGATCTCAGCTGCGGTATCACCTTTAAATTCAACACTCATAAATAGCAGTTTCTTCGGCACCGTCTGGATTCTTTCAGGCTTTTCCCTTAACTTCATGTTTTTCTCGATGAATCATGGAGGATATCCATTCTCTATGAGGACTTGTCTGAGTCGCCCCAGTTCTCCATCGATTGTATCACTGGAACACATCCTCCTTATTCTTGAGGATAAGGAATGGATCAGATTTATCTTTCTTCTGAAAGGGAGCCAACTATGAAAATTCGTGTATTGACCATTCCGAGTTGGTTTCCTGTAGATCGATCTTTGAAGAGGACCGTCAGAACTCCTTTTTAGAAAACACCCAAAAAATGGAATTCCGAGTTCATCTCTGATTCCTCCGTGAACTGGATAGCATGATGGCAGCTGTTGAACTCGTTAGTTATAATTTCAATGCTGGCATTCTCATCACATAAGATAAAAGTGTGATCCATGTGTATTTGGGTAAATATGAAAACTATCGATAGTGGGTCGTAACACACTATTCTCTAGACTTGCCAAGAAGCAGTCTGCAAGTAAGGGGCCCAGTGGCGACCCTATTGCCACTCCATCTATAGACCGTGTTGTTGAACTTGAACTGGATATTGAAAGTGCATCTCAATAGTAGTTCCTTTAAGTAGTGGGTCGGAATATCCACGTCCAGATTATTATCCTCGATGAATTTGCAGATAAAGCAAATAGTTTCAGTGAAAGGAACATTAGTGAAAAGAAACGTAACATCCATGGATATCATTTTCTTCCCGGATACATTGGCATCACTTATTGAACCGACGAATTCAAATGAATCTGAAACACTATGCTGACAGGGATTATTTCTGATAGGTAGGAGGAGGATGTCTGCGAGCCTTTTTTCTCCCACTACTGTTTATTCTGTCTAATTTTTAAAAATTGTACAAGAATATCATGACTGCCTATTTTCCTAAAATCTAGAGAGCTTTTTTCCTTCATATTTAACTTGTTGTATGCCGTATGTCTGTTTTCATGTAAGAAATATTTATTTAAGTCTAACTTATACAGAGGTTAATGGGGCTTTTGTAAAGTAAATTATTAAACGTATCTGTAATCACTCAATACAGTCATCAACGACTCCGTCTTCAGAGGAAATTACAACAGAAGAAGCAGTATTATTGACTCCTAATGTGTAGTTCATTTTTGTGTAAATCAGGAGGATACAGTTGTGGAATGACACATCTCACACTTGTAATGTGTTGAAACTTTTTGTCTACATTATTGTGAATATCACTAAATCGTTCTTGTTCTACTTAATTGAAACTTTATGTTCTTACATAAGTAAAACGAATCTATAAAATGTATTTCTGTACAGTTTTTCAGATCATATAAATGTTGGACTTCGGAAGCCTTCATTTTGTATGTTTTATATATATCCTTCCTTTAAGGCATCTTCGTTCAACTAAGGGATAAACTACTGAGATATAAAATAAGCAATTTGTTCTATGAATTTATCTATCAAAAGTCATATAACACATTTCACATTACACATAATTCCCATAGGAATATGTATGAAAATTAAAGCACTGTGGGTCCAGAAAATGCGGAATTGGTTAAAGGAAAAATGACAGTGAGTGATGTACACAAAGAACGCCCATGGTCAGGTATTATTCTTTCGTTTTCACTTTTGTTTGTGTAGGTGAAGAAAAAGTTGAAATAATGTAACTGTAGGTTTTATTGTAGTAAGGAATAGTGAGTACATGTCGACAGTGATTTCTGTATTTTGAAGGGCTTATATGTGTGAACAGATTTTATGTGTTTTGTATACGACATGGTGTACATCTGAATATTTTAACGTAAAGTGAACTGTGGAATTGCGGTTCTTATCGATCGACAATGTGAATATTTCGTAGGATATAAGGCGTTTCTTCCCCGTAAACTGTGGGTTTAAAAGGAAATGTAGATCTACTAGGATAATCGTTAATATTTTAGTACTGGATGCACTTTTGAGATTCTTTCAAGACAATCATACCGAAAGATTCTGTATTTAAAATGGAAAATAATAAACACTTTGAATATGAACTTTTGTTTTCACGTGTATGCGATGTCCTGCAGGCAATGCTTAGACAAGGGTATGTTAGACAGAGGGATTGTCTTAGTAAAATGTCTCTTCCACTCTACGTAAATATGTTTATAGACTATAGACAGTTAGCTTGACTGTTTCTCATGTACCAGAATACTTATCTTCACATGTCTAGCTTTACCACGCCTAGGATCACATATATGTGACTTGTTTCCTAAAGCATCTATTACTAAAGGGTTTCTCTGGTTTAAACGTGATTTCTGCATACGTGTAATAGAAATAGAAATGTGTAATAGCTAAATATATACTGTTTATCGTAAACCCGGTATTACTTCACAAAAACAGCTGTATAAGTACGAAGCTGCTGATTTCATCGATGAAGTGGAAAAGTGATACTCAGCATTAGAAGTTACAGCTTTTTTCAAATATTAGTACGCTATAAGATTGCATAGAAAAATTATTGCAGGATATCGAGTGCAATAGAAATGTGACGCTGATGGGCCTATATTCCACTAGGAATATTGGATAACAAAAAATAATATTCTAAGAAACCTTTAATTGAAATGACGAAGGAAATGTGGTAGCATGGTAATAATATG